GAGAGAGAGAGAGAGAGAAAGATAATCAGCCAACTTCGTTTCGAGAAAATTATATTTGAGAACGGTAAAGATGCGCGTTGCTTCAACCTCGTTCCCGCGAGGAAAGAGACAAAAGAAGCGAGGCAGAGGGAGGGAGGGAGGACTGGTCTTAGGACAGAAACTAAATCTGCCCGTGTGATTCTTTCGTTGCATCCACGTCGTCTAACCGCGAACCGCACTGTTCGCGATACCACAATGGCCGACAAAAAGATTCTTGGCATCCGGTGAGGAAGGCTCCACAAGCCGTCATTAAATTTCTCGCCAACGAATTTCATTATGTAAACGCAAACATTTTTCGGTCAAAAGCTTTCTAATTTCCATCCAACAAAGCGCCCTCTCGCTTTCTTCAGCGTGGAATTTTGCGAAGAGAAATTTCGCGAAGCTTTGTGAAATTCTTGACCTCGAAAAAAAAAAACGCCATTCTCTCGAGTTTCTATAAGCGAAAAATTACGGTGGATATGGATGGTTTAGCTCTCGAGGTGAGCATGAAAGTTCCAGCATAAACGTTAAAAATGAATGCGGTGGACACGATGATCCATCGTGGAAGAATAACGAACGAGGAGAGAAACTGGAAACGAATTAATCTTGAGAGGAAGGGACGGAGAATTCGAAAAGGATGGGCAATGATCACGATCCTTGGAACGATTGGAAGAAATTGTATATTGGAATTCCAGTGATTCATAACGTAATTGAAATAAATCTGAAGCGTGTTGGATAAATTTAATCGTGTTAATTTCTCGAACACCTGTCGTGAAACCTGTCGCGCAACGTAACGCGAGCATCAGGATTTAAGTTTCGGATTATTCATAACTTCGCTGAAAACTAACAAACTCGTTTGAAACTTCCACTCGTTGGGGAAACTCGATATCGTGTTAACCATGGAAAAGTTGAAAAGTCTGTAACTATTCGAGAGAATTTAAATTTCGAGCGTGCATCGTTTGTATCGACAACCTCGACCTTTATCCACGATTTATCGTCGGCGTGATGTCACGTCTGTAAATATGCGGAAATACTGTCGAACCATGTCGTGCCACGTTCATCGTCTTATCGAACATTTACGATCGACTGCTACAAGAAACGAAGATAGTCAGCCTGGGCGCAATTCCCTACAGTAGAAAGACGAAGTGTATCGAAAGAATTCGATCGCGCGAGATATTTAATTCAATGGACGAAAGAGATGATACTCGATCGATAATATCGCAACCGGATTTATCGAATTACCTAATTAGACACATTTTGTACGTTTTCGATGATAGTAGAGTCCACGAAAATCCAATATATTTTATTCTAAATAATATTTAACGCGTGTATATTCACGACACAACATGGTCGAATAGAAATTGGACAGAAATTGAAGGGACGACGACGTTTCAAGCGAAGGACGCCTGTTTAGAAATACCGTTAACCGGCGTCAAGGAGCGCGTGTCCTGGCAGTGGCAATTCTAAATTCCACGCCATTATACACAACCACATTACGAACGTACGTTTTCGCGTAACGAAGGAGGGAGCAAGTTGCAACCGACACGACCACGATGGTCATTACATCGTTTATCTCGCGGAAATCGTAGACTCGCATCGAAATAAGTAACGCGTTGCCCGCACTGAAAGCCTCCTCGTCTCCTCTCGTGCGTGCGTGCGTGCGTGCGGTTGCGAGGCGCATGCGTCCGATCATCCCGAAGCGAATATTCAACCGTACACGAACTATATATCCAAGGATCGCATAAGAATATATCTATCGAGGCAGGCGTAAATACGCGCAAATAGAGTGTTCCAGAAATACAAGCCGGGCAGGCGGGATCGTGTTTCCATGAAATTCTCGAACGGCCATCTTCGGCGGAAATGAATCCTCGGATGTAATTACGTCACTGGAACATTGGAAATTTGAATAGAATGGATGCTCGTTATAACGCTCGTTCGAACGAAATTTTGTTTCGGACGAAAATTGATTAAAATTGATTCTCGTCCCGCGTATTCCGGAGAGAGATCCGGAACGAAGGTTTAATTATTATTCTTCGCCTTTTGCCATTTTATTCTCGACTGATTCTTATATTCCTCTCTGTTATTAAATTCTCGTTATCTACCCTTCTCGTCTAATCATCGTACGAATCGTGAATCAAATTGCAAATACCATCGACTCGATTATTATATTTTTACACGATCCCAAATAAATAGGCGTACCACGAGATTCTTTTCTCGATTAATTAATCCTATCGAAGGAAAAGAATTCAAATTTTTCGGAGAACTCGTTAATTAGTCACCGATACGATCGTAGACCGTGTTTTAAGCGTTTCCTGTTCTCCGTGTAGGATTAGCGCATCAGTATGTAATCCAATATGACAAGTATGCTTCTTTACGCGTTCTCCTATACTCTTACGTCGTTTCTCCTATACTTGTGTAATAATGTGTGACGGCAATCGGCCGATCAATTGGATTGGAAACATCTTTTATAGACGGGAAGATAGAATACATAAATGAAACTCGAGCTACCGTTAATAAAAATAGACGACAATTTATAACATAGTGTATAGACACGGTATGTGTACGTGTAAACGATCTTGGGTGCGGTTACTATCCAGTGGTCGAACGAATTCTATACCTTCGTTCGAGCTTAACCTTTTGTTCAGTTAAACCGAAAGGTATTTGAATATCCATCTCGTTCTTAGGAGAATATTATTAGAATGATGTAAAAATTATTTATTATTTGAGCTAAACGTGAAACTTATTTGAAATAAGAGAGAAAATTATAAAAAAAATGTGTATATAAAAAAAAATAAAATTAAATTATCGAAATTTTAATACAACAACAATAATCACGACGATTTAAATAAAAAACCAGATTCATCGACGAATATTTATTCACAGTTATATCTATACGTTACGTGATAATTGTTATTTTATTTACGAATATACCGATGAACATAAATCTAAGGTAGGATCGATGTTATAACCAGTGCTAAATCACTGTCTTTGCTAATAGAAACGCGATACCGTTATGCCGTTAGATTTAACGCGCTGGTATATATTGACACATTCTATGACCCGAAATTACGAAGATAGAAACGATAATATTTACTATCCATTGTTTATTATCGTTTAATATATTATTGGTCGTTCGAATAATAAAATATTGAACGAAACAAACATAAATATTCTAATTTCAGCTTTTATATCGAGCGAAGAAGAAGCGAGAGACATTCAAAAAGGCCGCCACGGAGGATCGATATCACCGATGGCAGCGCCCAGAGACAACCAATCCAACCAGTTGACCTAATATTACCACCGGTCATACCAGGTATAATTTACTCGCGATTATATTCGTGTCGTCCGCACGCATGCACACCATACACACGTGAAACATGAGGTATACGTGGAATTATAACTGAACGAGAGGAATCGCGTTAAACGAACGAATTCTAAAATACGAACGTGACACGTCGCGTCGTGTGCACTTCTTCGCAACTCGAGCGTGTTGCGCATGCGACGAAACGTGAGTAACAGCGCTAGCTAGCCGAGCTAGGAAAATGACCGCGACATTTCAAACGAAGCGTAAGGAATTGCCGAGAATCGAGAATTGTGCGAAAATTGTGCTCGCTTTTATTCGATTCAACGTAATTTTATATACTCAAAATGTCTCGTGTTACATTGTATATGATTTCTTGTATCGTTCGTCGACGTTTGATATATTGAAAATAAATCGAAAGTAGAATTTTTTTCGAAGATACATTTATATTGCAAAAAAAAAAAAAAGAAAAAATTGATTAAGAGCAAAAAAAAAGATAACTGGAACATAATAAAACTGACCAATCGTTGAACATTAACTAATCAATCATCGTGCAAATCATATCAGCCCTGGGTAATATATAATCAATTACAATTTATCAATTTTTCACGGTTCGGTGAGCTCGTACGCAACGAAACCTACTTCGAAATGAATTTTCCGTTAGCCGAGATCAAATTGATCCTCGTTAACCTTGACATTTCGCGCGCCACTCGCCACAGGTTTATTTTAGAAAGGCAGAGTGAAACGAGAAACTCTCCGTCTACAGGGTGAACACTAATTACGAATCCCATATTTTTACACGATCCAATCCACATTTCGAAACAGGCCCGATCGAAGAATCGGTGTGAGAAACATTAACGATATCCTCTCTTACATCCTCCCCGCACAGACGTTCTCTTTTTCAAACGAAAACTCGTTGTTTCAGCCGCCTCCACGGAGAAACCTCGGCTAGCCACGAGACGAGAAAATGAGAATCCTCGCGAAGATTTGATAGAGTGGACGAAAGAAAAGAGCGAGGAAGCCTTCGAATGTTCGTAAAAGCATTGCCCGGCCGAAGAACGCTTCGTCCATGCGTCGCCACTTGGGCGAGGATTGCTTCCAAGAAGGCTGCGGCGACGAAACCTTTAGCGTCCGAGGCAAGTTTCGGTGTTTTACATCGGCATTTCTCTCCTCCTCTCCTTTTCCTAGATCGATCGAATCATCGTCTCTTCGCTTCCCTCGTCGAATTCTCGAAGAAGAATGGAAATGGCGTTTAATTGGACACGATTCGGAATTATCGATCCTCGATTTAAATAATAATAAGTAATAGCAGGTATAAATATTGACGCGCGTAAACAGGTGTTGACTAGCTACCTGGTTCAATCGAAGGAGCCACCGTGGACGTCGTATTTCGTGAGGTACGCCGACGTGGTGAACGATCAGAGGGGGATGTCGCACTTCAATTGGCCGGTGGGCGGCAGCAATTACCACGTGCTCAGGACCGGCTGCTTTCCATACATCAAGTATCACTGCACGAAGAGGCCGCGACAGGACCTCACAGCCGAGGACAAATTTTTCAAGGCGATCAAGCTTCTGAACCTTGGTAAAACTTGGCCTACCGAATGGAAAAACCTGTCGTCCTCCTTCTCTCCTTCCTCCCTTTTCTCGAAGGAGGGAGAGAGGACGCGTGACAATCGATGGTTAGTTATCTCTCCTGTGTCCAGGCATACCAACGTTGATGTACGGGCTGGCAGCGACTTTATTGATCAGGCATCGAGAGATCGTGAAAACGGCCAGGGGAGACGTGGTGATCCATTTCCTGCTGCCCGAGGACAAGGGATCCTTGTATTGAGATGTGATGTATATCAACACGAATAAAATTTTAATAAACGTAATTTCCAGACAAATTACTTTTATCCTTAACGAGCGAGGATTTCCAAAATCCATCGTTTCCAATATCCCTGTTAATATTCGAATCAACAGCTTTCGGTCCTGATTGCCCGTATTAATTACCAATTCAAATTAGGTAGGTATGCAAACGTGTGTGCGTATATCCGAGACGATGATGATTCGAGCTCGGTGGATAATGGCGTTTCGATAAGAAAGGAAGCGCGACCGAGGATGGTGAACGGCGCTTCTAATCGTCCGCCAATAAAATCGATTCGTCGTTTTTTCAATCGCGATGACTAACCTTTTATCCCGGATGAATACAATGGGAGAGGAGAGCCGGTCGTTCGAACGCATTAATATTAATCCACCGTGTTTAACGGATCTCCAATTGAGCGAGCAGTGGAAGAAGAACAAATATATAGGCTTTCTTGTTCGAGAAAAATAAGATTTTAATCCTTTACACTTGTATTTACATTTAAGAAGATTGTCGATCAAGTAAGAAGAGCTCTCTGGAGTTATACATTATATATAATTATGTTATAAGATGTTAGGATTATGGCGACATAAATGCAAAGGGTCAAAGCGGAATTTTAAAAGAAATTTAATGGAATAAGCAGTGAAATATAAATATAAAATATAGTTTGGAATCGCAGAATTTAACATTTAAGAACGATAGAAAAGAGAGACAAATATGATCGGTTAGCGAACCATTCTGCATTTTTATACAACTTTAAATCTAAAATTATACCGTATATGGTAACATTTCCATAATACAGAACTGAATTCAAGTTGGACAATCAATTAGAGGCTTACATTCCCGACCAAAATACTTAAAATTGATTTTGGAAACGAAGTGGAGAGCGAAGAAATAGAAGCACAGAATTGGTTAATACGAAAACTAAGAACGTTTGGGAGAAGCTCAACGAAATCACGTTGGCCGACAAACGTAACTTAAAAGAGACCGGTGGCGATCCAGAATCACGATGAAGGTTAACTCGATGGTTTGACAAGCTTTAATTAATTCGGATGGCTTTCACTTTTTGTATCACAACAATCCGTCGGAATAAACTTTCACCAACCTGCCAGCTTTCGTTATTGACCTTCAACCTTCAGCTGCGCCATTCTAGAAATCAGCTGTGTATATATATTCGATCGTGGAGAGACATGATCTCGAGAGGACGTGAAGTGGACGCGTTTCGTGCCATTCCATTCGAGATAGAAGCGCCGCTTTTATATACGCCTGATAAATATGTTAAATTTACATCGATGGCTCGTCCAACGTTACAACGTTTCACGAGAGTTGAATATATGTATATTTTCTTCCTCCTTCTTTTAGAAATATTTCCCGCGAATTCTTTTTGGAACGCTGAAAAGTTCACAAATGCCGGATGGTCTTAATAAAGTTGATTAAAAGGAAATCTCGTTTAGAAAGTTTTTGCGGTTTCCGCGGGAAATTAAATTTTCGTATTAAACGTTTCTTTCGTTCGATTTCCAAAAGAAGAAAGAAGGAACGGTTCTATAACGTGAAATATAATATACTTTCCTCGAATACCTCGATTCGAATACCTGATGCATCGATCTCTCTTCCATTCGTCGTCTCTCTCCAGAAATTCATATTCATATACACGTGATCAACCGTGATTGGAGACGAATCTCGAATCCAATCATACGAAAATTATCGCCGAGTATGAATATATCCTCCTCCTGTTCATTGCATCGATTTATATCTTCCTAGATAGCAAATAATACGATTTTATTATCGAACGAAGCCCATCAAGATGCGAAAAATTTAATCCGAATTTCTTTTCGAGAAAAGGAAAAGAATCCTGTAACGGCGATCGAAGAGAAGATCGGTATTCGAACCAGTCTCCTCGTGGAACGTTCGATTAGGCTCGTGCTCGAGTCGCATCCGTATACACACGTTGTAGCCGTCTCCATTCCTCGCGCGTGTTAACACGCGACGCTGTCCAACCCGCAAGGCAAGATCGAGCTTGCCACAGAGCTTTCGAGAGCTCGAGCGCCCCGTCACGCGCAATTAATTTCACACGAGATCCCAGGATCGGCGCATTTGCATTGGCCGCAACGTTGAACTGGAAGATCCAATCCGAGCTTCGATCGCGTCGCGACGCGAGAAACGGAATCGAGTGGAAAAAAGATTCGAGAAGAACGAAAAACATCGCGTAATATCTCGTGGATTATTTGTAATTACAGGTTTGAATTGTGGAATATGAGAAGGATCTTCAATGAAGTTCACCCTGGAAAAGATTTTTCGGAAGATCGAAAGATATCACGGATGTGGAATAAAAATTGGCGAATATAAATGTAACGATTTTTAATGAAGTTCATTTTGGAAAAGATTTTTCAGAAGATCGAAAAATATCACCGAATAAAAATTGGCGAATATAAAATATAAAAGCAATTTTTAATGAAGTTTACCTTGGAAAAGATTTTTCAGAAGATCGAAAAGTATCACGGATGTGGAATAAAAATTGATGAATATAAATATAACGACTTTCAATGAAGTTCACTTTGGAAAAGATTTTTAAAAAGATCGAAAAATATCAACGATATGGAATAAAAATTTGCGAATATAAATACAAGAACAATTTTTAATGAAGTTCATTCTGAAAAACATTCGAGAGGATCAAAAATATCACGGATCACTAGTCATAGATATTCTTTTATAATAATAGATTTTTAATGAAATTCACTCTGGAAAAGATTCGAGAAAACCGAAAATAATCACGGATCATTATTCATAGATGTTCATCTGTAATTATAGATTTAAAAATAAATATAACGACTTTCAATGAAGTTCACTCTGGAAAAGATTCGAGAAGATCGAAAATATCACAATTCGTAGATATTCATTTTAGGCCAATTATAAACTTTTAATAAAGTTCATTCTGGAAAAGATTCGAGAAGTTTCTCTGCTCGATGTAGCGAACGTTTCAAGAATGGAAAGAATATCTTTCGCGATATAACGGCTCCTCTGCCGGACGCTTGCGTATATCTGACATTTATTCCAAGATTTTTCCCCACCCAGGAATGTTCTCGCATATGCGAACTAGCTAGTATGTTTCTTCGTTTCTCGTTTAAACGGTCGTGTTCCCCTCTCCCCCTGCGTACCCTGGAACCGCCCAACATCGCGATTCGCAAGGTGAAAGCAATGGGGAATATTATTTGTAATTGATGACCATTTATTGGTGGAAATTGCACTGTGCGAGAATTTTACTTTCTCTCTTCTCATTCTCGAGAGAATCTGTGGTTTCGTTGGAACAATAATGGAAAAATAATCGATCTGTTGTTGTTGATCGGCGAGAGAGTGGAAAAGAGATTGTAAAAATCTTTATATTACCGTAACATTGAGCAAATTAATTAATTACACGATAATTCTTTCGAAGAAAGTAGATCTTAAAATTAATCTTAAATTGAGTAAACTTTTTTTTTTTTTTTTTATTAAAATAAATTTTATATCTCGTAAAATATCAGGGTGGTGTTTTCGATCGAGGTTGTTAATTTTATTTGGTGATGGTTGAATTACCGCGCAGGAGCGGAATACAAATGAGAACGATTTATTACGTTGGTAACAAACGGTGCGCCATTTCATAGGAAAATCATCGCGTTTCACTGTCGTCACATGGTGGAGAATATTAACCAAGCCGATGAATAATCATATATACGGTCGGCGTGTATATACACGTACGCATGCTTTTGCTCGGAGTTGGTAATTACCAACTGTCACGCTACACCTGTTGGCAGTGATTATTATTTCAACGACAAATTGAAATGGGGAATTCGAAGGAATTTATGCGTTCACCTGATCCTCTCACTCGTAAAGCCTCCATTTGATCCGGAAAAGGGATCGTGCGATTTAATAAAAAATAAATTTTGCACACTATTGAATGTTTAAAAAGTATAGTTTACTTAAAAATTATTAAATAACAACGGCGAGTGACCTCGAAAAGGTATCAAAATTCCAGGTACACGGCAGTTTTTGATAACTGAGCAATTTCCAAAGAAGCAGTTTTCAATTCAGTTAAGATTTCGTAAAATCAACTCTATTTTTTTTTTTTTTCACGAATCAGCACAAGCAGCGATAAACAATAAATTCGAATGTTCGGTGAACAAATCAAAAGTATAACTTTGTGTGTCCGATTATGACGAAAAACTAGAATTTCGTGTATCTATGCGATTATTATTATAAATTAAAAAGAATCTGAAACTAAATTACTTCTTAACCTAAAAAAAAAAAATAAATAAAATGAATATTCTCTTTGCACGATTTAACTGTGATATATTTGGAATGAGGAAGGAATACCTTCGAGAAACCACTCTATAAACTCTCAAGAGTCAGAGAGATTTAAATTTAAACCCATTGGTTATCGAGAATACCGACGCATGCTTGTAATTTAACGAATTATCTCTCGAACCACCTGTACCTAATTCTGTTCTCACAACGTTGCCAGACAACGTTGCACTCTGCAAAATGTGCGGCTAAAGCGGATGTAATCGTGCTAAAAGCGTACGCAGCTAAATTTCAGTCACTCGACATGCGACAACGGTACACGTAAACAGTTAAGTGTCGTCCATCCAACTCCAAGGAAGTTAATTGACTAAAATTTTTTGAATGCGTTATTTTAATACCGTTCTCCTTCATTTTTAATATTTATAAATTATTGCGCAATGGAATAAACGTAAGAAATGTAACGATGTATAAAAATGAAAAGATAAATACAAGCACGTATCTACTGTTCACTGTTTGAAAGAAGACTCGCAGAAGGACAAGAGAAGTCATTCGCTAGGACTTATCCCCACTCTAGTTGGGACGGTTTGTTGACAATCCTCACACCACAGATCACTTAAGATTAGAAGTATATGAAATATTTTCGAAACTGTTTACAATATGTCTAGCTTATTCGTATACGTACAATTATTATCTTAACTACTCGAATTATATTTATTAAATTAAACTATCGTTACAAATCGTAATTAATCTATATATATTATAAGAATTAAAAAAATTTTTATATTATATCGATTCGTTAGAATTCTTTACCTACGCTAAATTTGATTGAAATTTAGATATAGATCGTTGTTTTGTATTAGCATGTATGTGATAAAATAATTTGGAAGGAGTTTCTTACATTCTATCAATACATCGAACAATATATTGCAGGTGGATTAAAAAGATCGATTGAAGGAACGATTAATTGAAATTCTTCTTCAATTTCAAATTAGTAAGTAGATCAAAGCTAGAGTAAAACGGGATAATAACGGTGCCAGAAAATATTCCCCACTACTTGCTAAGAAAACGTCCAGACAATTCGAATAATCGGTCCGTGCCATTTTAGTTAGTTAACAGTGCGTCTATCTTTGATCGAGTGGAAGAGCAGCGAAATAAAAAAAATCTCCATCCGTAAATGAAGGTAAGTTTACGCGTGTTTTAACGTGGATTGCAAATCCATTTCGATTCGATTAGGGTTAATCCAATACCCCAGGTGTCGACCATTATAATATTTTATCCCCATCGTTGCATAAACTCTTGCGTATACATTTTAAAGTTTCGCCTTTCCACAAGTTTCATTCGTAAACTCGTTGTCGTCCGTCGTCGTTCTACCTTTTTCGCCGTGCTCGAGGTCTCCTTTTTACGCGAAATTCCAACGAAATTTCCATTTTTATTTTCCACCATCGCGTCTTATCCCTTTACGAGAAGTCACGAATCGCCCGCCTCCTTTTTCCTCTCTCTCTCTCTCTCTCTCTCCCTCTCTTCCTCCTCCTCCTCCTTCTTTTTCTTCTCTTTTTTTCATCACGATCGACTCTCGCCGAGTAAGAGTTGCGCAACCACCGAGATCGGGAGCCACCATCTCGATGGTGAAATTCTATTTCGAACGGTGTCCACGATACTTTGCAATTGAAAGCTATGTTAATTTCCGATATTAACATCCGATTATACTGAAAAAGGGAGATGGTTAATCGTACTCGACAAGAACAACAACCGCAGTTTCCAATAAGAGAAAGAAAATGTAAATGCTAGAATCGGGAAGGGAAAGGGAAAATCAAACGTAAATTAAACAACTTTACATTTTTCCTAATCATCGTTTAACTTTCATATGTATATATGTATATATCCTTGGAAAGTGTAATTTAAACAAGTCGAGTTCTATCGCGGTAAAATATAATTTGAAGGCTGATACGAATGATACTTCCTCCATCTTGAATCTTAAAAGTTGCGCGAATGGAGATAGAAACGGAAGGGTCTATTACGCGAATCGTACATACGTGGCAAAAAATATTGGAAGCGTTCTCGATCGAATCGCCGATAGAAAAAAAAAAAAAAGAAAAGAAAAAAATGATCTCTCTCTCGAGATTATTATTACACCGTGGAACGGAACGGGTGCAGTGCGTTACAACGAAGATTGCTCGAGGATGATTAAGATCCTTCTTAAACGCACGCCTTCGTAAAGTGGGGTGTAACAGTGCAAGCGAAATAGCAGAGGAGGCGAGGGGAGGGGGTCAGCGTTGTCGAGCTGCGGCTTTATAAAGATTCAATTTTCCGTTCGCTTAACTTCCGGCATCGTAAAACATTCCGGCGTCGAATGATGAGCCCGAGACGTGTTCCATTTTAATGCACAACGTTAACCTACACGCGACTCTACATTCACGCCTCGAACACGATTCGCAATTTATTTGGTTTTTCGTGAGAGAAATACGCTCGCGATTAAATAAATTGCAAACGAGGATATTAACGAGGGTATGATCGGGTATTTAAAAGGTATTTTCTCGCGTTTACAAGGGGCGTCATTGTAACGCGAGAGCGAGCAATAATTTTTCAAAATTATCGCCTTCGAGAAGCTACCAACTATCGCGATTCTTTCTCTTTTATTTCTCTCCGCAACGCTGTGCAATTTAAAAGTTTTTGGGTAATTTTATTGTGATTGGGAGGAAGGGAGAATATTTCCTAGCGAAATGCTATTCTTTTTACGATTATCGTCTTCGAAAAGTGCTTCTTATTCTTTCTGTAACGTTCGAAAAAGTTTCGATTCGATTTCAATAAAAATTCATCGAATTAGAAAAGTTGGAATATTGCATATGTAATGAAGGAGAATTTTCATCTTAATCTTTATCTAAGAAACAAAATTCGATTCAAATTCAATAGACAAATTTAGTTAAATTTGTGCATAAATCACCAAGAGAAATCGCAAAATCCTTATTACCGTTCGCAACATAACCTCTTCGTTGTCCTCTTCACCTTATCATCGATGCATATCGCTGCATACGATACATTACACTCCGAAGACTCTCCGACGAAATGATTTATCTTCAGCCGTGTCACAAGCCTCCTATTCAAAATGCAAAACACTTGATAAAAAATAAAAAATCACCAATAATACCGTAATTGGTACGTAAGCGGCGTCAGGTGGAAGACGAGAATTCCAGCAACTTCCTCGTTCGTCGAGCGGTGGCGACACAGTTGTCACCTACGATAAATCTAAGAAAACTCTTCCACGTTTATGTGGTTATATATCAGCCGCGCCTACTTCTCTTACTGTCTGCCGTTTACTTTCGCCTCGAGATTTACCTACGCTCGCGTATTTCACTTGAACTCGAGCGAAATTACGTACACGCGGGAATACTTTTCTTCAAAAGAGATCTCCCTGCAAGAATTGGATCTGCTATGGAAGAAAATGGTAAGGTTATGGGAAACGAGGTTCGGATCGGAAAGCGAAAGCTCGTTGGAAGAATGGATCGAGTCGATATTCATATTTCGAAGAATTCTTGCAATTAAGTTGTAACGAGAGGAAGGATGATTTCTTCGTCAAAAGTATTTTTTAAAATTGTCAGAGCAACCAAAATGATTCAAATATTTTTTTTTTCACAATTTTTCAAAATTGATTATTGAAAACACAAAAATATTTTTCGCAAAATTAATATCGTGATTTAGATAAAAATCTAAGGATACAACTACCCTATACACAAAGTAAATATTCCGGTGTTAAAATATGCGGATCCTCGCATATGCACCTGTCCGCGACAACTTCAATCACCGTACACGACAATCCGCTTCGCAATAAGCATTTGCAAAGAATCGCGCGCGTCATTAAGGCGACGTGGGCAAAGGGGAAGAAAGAAAGGCTTGAAGAAACATTTTCATCGAAAAGACAAGCGACTCGCATCTTCGTTCATCGGAAGAATAAGTCATGCTCATTGTTCTCAACCCATAAACAACGATATCCTCGCGCCTATCGTGTAATCTCGTTTGCCGTCCATCCACCTTTCTTGTGTATATATATATATACACACAATATGCATACGCATCCCTCGATCGCAGAAATAATGGCATTGTCCGTGCGCGAGAAAACTGTAATAGCGTCGTTGTTGCGCACGCAACGAGTGTCCCGCGTAATCGGTGCGCGACACCCACACGAATCGAGAACCGGAAGATGTCGCCAAGATCGCCTCGCGTCTGAAGCAGCCATCGTCAAATTGACAATTTACTCGTCCCGGAAGTAATCGTCGTAAATCAATCTCTTTTCGTTCTCGAAAAGAGCCGATATTTCGGTTGAATCCTCTTCGAGATTCGAGGATTGGAATCATGCTTGAACGACCACACGGATGAAAATTAATCTCACAATTGGAAGTGATTTCGAAATCGTTTTTTATAGATCGAATTCGTTTCTCTTTAATTCGTCTCTCGTCTCGTCTCGTCCCGTCCGCGTCGTTATGACGCAACTGGTGTGCCGAGAATCGTGCGCGAAAATATATTCTCTCGTATATAACCGAATCGAATGGCTGAAAGTGAGGGGAGCCAATTAATTCGTAAGTACATTTCCTTATGGGCGTAGAGAGACGAGTTTTTGATTCCATGGATGATGAGTTACATAAATTACGTGAGATTCGTTGTGACTACAAGTCGGATCCTCTCTGTGTATCGAGGCAATTAAAACAGGAAGAAATCTATTTGACGAATCACATCTTGGCGAAGCACATTGTTTAAAAACTTCATCGGATGATCGAAGTGAAAGGTTAATTAGTTACTTTTGCAAATTTGTCGTTAAGCAAAAAATATTCTAACCAAATATTTTCCTTTAATCTTTCGATAAGTGTTTCACGATTTTTCGCACGATCCGGAAAATGTTAGAAGAATAATCATTAATCGATCCAAAGCTCGCTGCTGTTCCCGCCAATTCGATGTTTCGCCTAATCAACACGATCCCGCTTAATGAAGCGCCTATTAAATAAACTTTCCCCGCGCAGATTAATTTAACAGATTGATCATTCTGCGGGAAATACAAGTAGGAGAGGCGTGCAATTAAACACTGCACACGATTGTGCCGACGCACGAGCAATTTCCACGAGACGCAGTTTCCTGCAAATTAATAGGTTTATCGATTGAGACACGATGCCGAACGGTTACAGTTTCGCGAACACGATCGATCTTCGATGGTCCTGTTACGCGCTATCCCTCGTGGTTTCGCAGTTCCTGCAACCTGCGGGCGTCGTGTAAATTTATTTAGAAGTGTCAACAATGGCTTTACAATGGCTCTTCTGTATACGATTTGAACATGCAAATATTCGAAGGAAAATATCGGATCGTTCAACGTTCTCCCTCGAACGAGGCGCTGTTAAAAGCGCGTGCGAACAAATTAATTTAATTTATAACAAACTTTATAATATTTTTCATGTATTTAATTAAAATTCATATTTTTACGTTGCGCAATAATAATTATAATGTGGTAACATAATTTTTTTAAAATACGAAATTTTTGTGGCGAATACCCAGATCGAAAATGAATTTCGAAAAAAATCTAAGATTCCACTTCACATTTCATCATTCATTTCATTGTATTTAACGAGTTGGAGGATTAAAATTAATTCGCTTTTGTCTTATCCCACAATTTTATCGAATCGATTTTAAAAATATCTCGAGACACGATTCTCTCCGACGAATCGTTATCCCAAGATTCTTAATTAAATTAATAACAACGTTGTTAACAACCGACCTATAAAATCCGTGTTTCGCAAGCAACAACAATGCAACGAGAATTCAAGAAGAAGAAGCGAGTTCTCGAAGGAGAATTACACGCTCCTCCGGAGAGGATTGGATCGGCATGTCGCAGATGGTACACGGATAAGAGGCCCCGTATACGATTTAATTTTGAATTTAGGAGCACGCATTCTTCTTCTCGGAATGCAGTTTTGCAATTAAAAGGTGGCGAGGGAAAAGAGAGGAATGGAAAGAATTATATTAACGAAGAAGAATCTGGATCGAGGATGAAATTTAGGCAGATCGTTTCGTATCGTCGAACAATCGGGCGATATTTTTTTTCTTCTTCTTTGAATCTGATGACGCTGAATTCGACCGATATTATTATTATACGCTGACGCGGAACACGGGTTCCGCGTAATGGAAAAACGAGCTTAGCAAGCGAAAAAACCAAGGAAAGAGAAAGGAATGTGTGTTCCTGGAAAAAATTTTTCCGAAACCGCTCAAGTTTATCTACTTTGTCCACACACACATTTCGAATACAGTTATACCTCGTTTTACGCGGTTTAGATTCCTTTACGTTACGGAAAAATTGGCCGTAAAGCGAAAACTCGTATAACGAATCATTTTTTTGTATCATTGTTTTCATACAAACCCATACGAATTCAATTGGATCTGTTCTAATTTTTTATAAAATAATATAATTTTTAGTTCGTAAAGTATTTTTTTTTTGGGATCGTAAATCGAAAAAATGGCATAATTAAAAAAGATAGCGTAACAAAACCAGTCTGGCATAATGTGCGTTCGTTAGACGAGATAGTATCGATCATCTCCTTTTTACTCTCGATTTTTTTCTATTTATCGAAGAATAATAACAAACGAAATTTTATTTCAATCGATACAGGATCAGGATGGAAAAAAATAGACCTAACACTTTCGCGTGTATCCGTATGCTGTATCCACGATCGAGCGTTGTGCCGTTAAACTTTTACCTGCACGCGTTTCGACCTGTATCGAGATCCCACAGAATGACTCAGAATTCTGTAAAGTATCCGATGCACGGCAATACCCGGCTACTTGACATTTATCACGAGTCGCAGCCAAGGAATTCGCGTTCACCTCTCCCTCTTCTATTGACATCATCGGCA